CTGACTCCTAGCAGAATTAAAGGAACCATCAGGACCCTCTATCTAATGAGATATATATATATATATATTTTTTTGAAATAAAAAAAAAATCGAATTAAAAGGTACCAAGGGAATACCACCCAATATACAAAGAATGTTACATGTCAATTAGCATATCAACAACTGCTCCAATATCTTCTAAGGATAGTAAATTGTGACCCAAAAGTAAGGAGCCAAAATAGTGTAACTATCTATTTCTAATGAGATAATTTATCTGCATAGTATAAACTTGTGTGCTTCAATTTTGCATTAATAATAATGACAAAAGAGTCTGTGAATATGCAGTAACAAGTCCATCCACACAAAAACCCATGCTGCCAGTCACTTAATATAGGGAAGGGCTATGAGACTTTTCAATAGTCATTTGCTGTCGATGAAGCATAATTCTTCTCAGCAGATTTTAGCAATAAGCTTCTAAGAGCAACCTATAAAACTAATAGGTTTGATCTCCCTAAACTCCATCAATGATACGGAATCCAAAATCAACTAATGTGATAAAAAACTCTGCATATAACATTAGTTTTCAGAATCATAAAACTCCTAATAAATCCTCCCTACTGGAACTACATTCAACACGTGAATGTCAACCAAGGTAATTGAGATAGTTTGAATTGATTAAAACTACCACAAGTATGAACTTGATAAGTTAGAAATCAATTCGAAAAAAATTTGATAAAACGCCATAAGGATTTATTTTAATAAATTGAATCAATTCTCATTCAACAAGAAGGTTAAAAAAACTTAACTAATTGAAAATTAAAACTTTTCATAATTTTATTATTCTAAAACTTCATTCCTTACAATGAAAATTTGAGAACCTATTTATAAAATAGACCATGTGAATAAAAAGATAATAAAAATCTTCTAATTTAAAATTACAATTACATAGGAAATTAATTAAAATTTAAATTTAAATTCCTAACTAGGTGCAATTACATAGGAAATTAATTAAAATTAAAGTATAACTTCCTAACTATGATTGATATGGTCTTCTTTCTTTATTAGAAGAGATAATGAGTGGTTTAGAAGGAAGATTTATGGTAATTTAAAGCTGGTCATGAAGGCTCCCTTGATAGCCCACAATTTCTTTTCTCCCTTTTCTTGGTTGATTCTCTCTTTAAAGGAGAAGATTTTCTTTTTCCTTTCCTTGCTCACATCAATCACCCTTCCAACTTACGGACTGAGACAAGAAATGAGACATTTAGACTTCTAACTACTTTACAAAATATAAAAATCCTATAACATCTCCAAAATTCTCCTTTTGAATATCGCCAAATTCTAGAGGAAGAAAGACATAGCAACACCATCAGGCCCGGACATTAGTATCCCACATTTCACTCAAAAACGAAAGGACTCTCAAGCACAGATCTATCAGCAACACCGCCCTCAAAAACTCCATCTTGTCCTGCCTAAGATGTCAAGCATCAATCTCCTGATACAACTCAGAATGGAATTCACCAACAGCCTGCCCCATTTCATGCATTCTCAACCTAACTGCAAGCTTGGCAAGGAAATTGGATCTATTATTGAAGATAGTGATGTCATGGAAAATTTTGGTATTCCCCTCATGGATCCAAATAAATCCGAATGTTGTCTCCAAGCTATCTCTTCCATAAGCAAAATGTTGGCAAGCTCCAAAAGTTAAGAGAATTCTCTCTTAATCCCCTTCAGACAAACCTTAAGAGAATTCTCTCTTAATCTCCAAGCTATCTCTTTTAATAATTTTCCTCAGCCTATTCAATGTTTTGGGTCTATGTTTTGGAACCCAGTCCAGAAAACCTTAAAGAACCAGTCTGGAACAATTGAGAATCGGTCTAGAGTTGGTTGAAGCGGACAAACTGAACCAGATTGGGTCAACTAGTTTGAACCATTCAACATAAGGTATCAACATTCTGAAAGCCACGTGCTGGTTTCCAGCAAGTTTCCAATGACAATCTCCTGGCAAAGGATTTGCCTGGAGACACTAGTTTCAGATCTGGTGTCGGTCTCACTTGCTGCAGCCAGGAAGCAGTACATCTCGTGTTTGTGGCGATGATCCACGGATTGCCTAACAAGTGAGGTGGATTCCAACAACTTTAGAGGCTAAAATTTGGTGGATGTGCAAAGTGGATTCTTCTAAAGCTAACAGGAGGGGTGGTGTTGACCACCTCAAGGTGGTTGGTTGGAATCATGTTGCTTTAATGATTGTTTCAAGAGTTTAGTATTTTATTTTTGGTAGGGAGGTTGTGTTTTGTGAAGTTGAGAACAAAATTTGAGCAGTGTAATTGATCGAAGTTAAGCTCTAATACCAACTAATATAGGACAAAGAGACAGCATAACACCTTAAGAAAATTTATTAAAAACCAAAATTAGAGATCTCAAATTTCAATTATCAAATCAATATTTGATATTTATATAATAATAATGATTTTTCCCATAAGTTTGGAGATCAACAGCATTAGGTGGTGCCCTTGCTCATTTAGTTTTGAGAGCAAATGGCTCAAGGTCCCTGATTCCCAAGACAAGATCAAAGAGTGGCAGGAAGAATGCAGACGGGCAGTTTTACCAGCTTTAGAATTGTCAGAAGCTTGCTATGTTAAAAGACAAGCTTAAGAGACGGAATAAGGAGGAGTTAGGAGAGGAAAGCCAAAGGAAAAGACGAACTCTTTGCCGAGTTACAGAGGCTGGAAGCATTAAAGGGGACGGGGGGGTCCCCCCGGTGGAGGATGGGATGCAAAAACGAGATCTGTCTAGAACTAGCAAATGTTATTTTCAGGGAGGAGATAGCCTTCGACAAAAGTTGAGGGCCAAGTGGATTAAGAAGGGTGATAGAAATACGAAATTCTTACATTCTTTGGCTAGTCATCATAGGGGATACAACTATATAGAGGCGTTAGAAGTGAGCGGTTGAGTGAGGAAAGGTAACAACGAGCTGAGGGAGGGGATGAAGTCTTTTTTTTAGGATTTGTATAGAGAGGTGGAGCCATGGAGACCCACTTTAGATGGGTTGAGTTCCAACAGATTTAGTGATCAGGATGGCATGCTCCTTGAACAAGTTTTTTCAGGAGAAAATTCTTGAGGCCACTATGATTGTAAAGGAGACAAGGCACTGAGGTTAGACGCTTCAAAATCAGGTTTTTTCAACAGAATTTAGATATTTTTGAAGAGTGACCTAAAGGCTAATTTGGTTAATTCCACTATTCAAGGACATTCATGGAAGTCTAACCTCAACTTTTCTAATTTTCATCCTGAAAATCCAAGAAGCATTAAAGATCAGTGACTTTAAACCTATAGCTCAGCCGGCGGTGTGTATAAAATAATAGCAAAAGTCCTGACACGAAGAATGACTAAAGTGATCAGGGAATGCTAACATATTCTTTTGGAGGAGAGATAAATATTTGATGCGGCCTTAATACCTAATGAGATAGTGGACACCTTGTTGAGAAAGGGCGAGCGAGGTGCTTTATGCAAGCTTTTTATGGGGAAGGCCCACGATCATGTGGCTAGGAGTTTTCTATTATACATGACAGAAAGAATGGGTTTCAGGCATAAATGGCAAACTTCGATTAAGACTTATATTACCACATCTTCCTTTTCAGTTCTAGTGAATGATGGAGCATCTAATTTTTTTAAGGATTCTAGAGGCTTAAGGCAGGGTGATCCATTGTATCCTTTGCTCTTCCTGATACTTAAGACAGCACTAACCATACTGCATATCAACGCAAGGGAATTGAACCTTTATAAAGGGGTGAAGGTTAAAGAAACGACAAAGAGGTTTAAGTGACTTATTTATTCTTTGTTGAAGATACGTTATTGTTTTGTGGGCCAAATCACAATTACCTCCTTAATCTTAGGTGTTGCATTGTTGAGCTTCCAGGCAGTTTTTGGTCTTTGAGAGTAATATGGCAAAGCCAGAACAAGTGCAGTGGGTGAGCATCGAGAAGACGATCAATTGGAAACTATTTCGAGGTGCAAGTCCCAATTAAATATTTGGATCTTTCACTTTGCACAAAATTCAAAGATATTGTGGCATGGGACCCGGTGGCAAATAGATTCAAACCCTAATTAGCTGGATGGAAGAGGGGCTTACTCTCAAGGGAAGAAGGCTCTCTTTATGGCCCCCATTTACTTCACGTCTTTGGCCACCATTTCCTACGAGCATGGTAAAGAGATTAGAGATGATCGAATGCAGATTTTTGTGGGGGATTCAAAAGACAAAAGGAGATATCATCTGCTACGGCAAAGGGATTCCCTTTCTCCACTCTTATTCATTATTGTGATGGAGGCCCTGAATAAACTTATTGAGAAAACAAAATCATTGAATTTAATTAAAGGGATTACTATAGGTAACAGAGATCATAAAACGAAAAATTTTTATTTTTTCTTCGCTGATGATACACTGATTTTCTGTCAACCGGATTTCAGCTCCCTCATCTTTCTAAAATGTATTCTATTATGCTTTTAGGCTGTCTCTGGTTTAAATATAAATCTCGAAAAATCTAAAATAGTTTTGTTGGGAAACAGCTCCAGAAATGAAGACTTCAGTGTGGTTTTGGGCTGCAAGCAGACACAGTTACCTATCACTTACCTTGGTGTTCCTCTTGGCACCAAGCACAATGATAGTAATTACTAGGAATCTGTGATCGATTTGTTCAATAACAGATTATCTACCTGGAAGAAAAAATTTCTATCAAAAGGAGGTAGATTGACCTTGATTAAAAACACACTCTCCAATCTCCCGATTTACTTTTATTGGTGCTTAACAAACCAAATAAGGTGGCAAAGAAACTAGAGCAGATCTAATGTAACTTTCTTTAGGGTTGGAGTAAAAATTGCAAGAAATACCACTTAGTGAATTGGTTGAAGATAAAAAAACCCTTAAAAGAAGGGGGCTTGGGACTAAAATCAATAATCAAACTAAACAAAAGAGTTCTTGATAAATGAATTTGGAGATATTGGAATGAAAATGACAGTCTCTGGAAAATAGTGATAGAATCAAAATGGTATAACGAGGAGCCACAAAATCTCTCTTAAATTAAAAACAGCAACTACGGTTATATTATATGAAAAAACATCATCACACTAAATGGAATATTGGTAATGGGTTCAAGGTCCGTTTCTGAGAAGATTTTTAGTGCAGTTCAAAAAAATTAAAAGACAAATATCCCCTTATATATAGAATTGCTAGAAACAAAGCTACCACAGTAAATGATATTATTGGTTCAGTCATTCCTGCCTCCTGAAGTGTCCCAGCGATGAGGAACCTTCAAGATTGAGAACAAGAAAATTATCAATCCTTACTTCACTTATTGGCAAACACATAACTACAAAATCAAAATGATAAACTGCATTGGAAATTAAAAAAGAATGGTATCTTCAGTGTTAGTTCTCTATACTCTTTTCTGACCGGTATAACTCTAATGAAACATATCTTTTCCACTCAAAAATCATTTGAAAATCGGGTGCCCCCCCAAACTTTTTTTGCTTGGAAAGCTGCAAAAGAGAAAATCCTCACAATAAATAATTTGATGAAAAGATGGCATACTACTGTCAACAGGTGTTTCTTCTGTAAGAAATCTCTTGAATCATGTAATCATCTACTCTTAAAATGTCAAACATCTCACAAACTCTGGAGCATGATACTCGGACTTCTGGGGATCTCTTGAGTAATAAAAAATTCTGTTTATTCCAAACTTCTGGCATGAGAAGGTCTGATTAGTAACAAAGCGATTAAATTAACTTCTCTTACCATTTTCTGGATTATTTGAAAGGAGAGAAACAACAGAACTTTTGAAGGGCTTGAACAAGACTTTAATAGCATCAAAAATAAATGATTTCATTATTTTGCCTCTACTGTTTTATGGCATAATCTAGAATGTTTTGAAAATCTAGATTTTATTGTAAATATGTTAATTGATATGTAAATTTGATTTCATTAATGACCTCACATTAATACATCTTCTCTTCTTTTATTTCAAAAAAAATATATCATCTTGTAGCATGGGATGATGTAAAACATCCTTATCGAAAAGGTAGCTTGGGAGTAAGGTCCTTCATGGAATTCAAAATGGCTCTCCAAGATGACAATGACTTTGGAGATTCATGAAAAAGGAAGGAAGCTATGGAGGAAGGTGATCAAGGCAAAATTTAGAAGAGAGAGGTTTGGATGTTTGACAGAAATTCTAATGGAGACCTATGGGGCTGGACGGTGGAAGAGGTTTATTAAGAATAAGGGAGTATTTCAATGCTTATTGATGGAAAATTGGGTCAGCATAGAGAGTGAGTCTATGGACAGACTATCAGATGGAAGGAGTAGCTCTTTGTTCGAAATTCCCTTTAATTTTTTATATTTCTTGAGACAAGGACATCATAATTAAGGATGAACTGAAATTTGGGTGTTGATCTGAACCAAAATTCAAATGATTGGGAAGAGTACGTGTGGCTACTTAGTACACTCACGAAGGTGGAGATTTATGAAGAAAACAAGGATGAACAAATATGGAACCTTTGTCGCAATGGACACTTCTCGATCAAGTCGTATTACCAATTTTCGACTAGCAATGAGGAGTGTGAGAAATATTTCTTTGAAGAATGGCGTGGAAGTTGAAAATGACTCCTAGGGTGGCTTCTACTACTTGGGAAGTAGTTCGACAAAATATTCTTACTCTTGACAAGTTGATCAAAAGAGGCAAAGTTTTGGCGAATAAATGTTACTTGTGCAAGAGTGGGGTAAATAAATGTAATCATATCATCCTTTGATATCCACTCACACATCACGTATGTTCTCTGGTTTATACCTTTCAAGTCTGAATTGAGTTGCAGGCAAAATGAGAGCGGAGCTTTTAGATGTGGAGGCATCCAAAGAGATAAAAAGACAATTAGACATATCCCTTTGGCGACCTTTTGGGTCATTTGGAAAGAGAATAGTAGGAGATAAAAAGCAACTTTAATTAGAATTAAGGATTCTTGGTTCCAGGTTATGAGTATTTTGATTATGGATCAACATTTGAATTTAAGTGAGGAGTTGAGAATCCTTAGTAATGCTTCGTTAAACTTGTAAACTTTGTAGATGGGTTGCACACTCTTGGTGTCTTATGAATAGTAACACATTTTTTATTCAAAAAAAAAGTTTGCATAATGATCATGACTATTAAATAAGATGGGGTATTTTGATACTTATACAATCAAAATATGAATTCTTAAGCTTTTTCTTTTTTTGAAAGTAATGGATATGGAGAAGGCCTATGATCATGTTTGTTTGGATTTTGTCAACTACATGTTGGGGAGGTTGGGTTTTGGCAAGAAATAGAGGAGGTGGATCAAGATATGTATTTCTACCACGTCGTTTGCGGTAATGATTAACGGTGGTCCATCTACTTTCTTTAAGGCTTCCCGGGGACTTAGACAAAGCAACCTGCTTTCTCCACTCCTCTTCATTATTGTTATGGAGGCTTTCAACATGATGTTAGAGAGGCCCAAGGAATGTGATTTGCTTAGAGGGGTTTGGGATAGCAAGAATAATCAGAAGGTGGAGATGTCTCACTTATTTTTTCCAGATGATACTTTGATATTTTGTGAAGCAAAGGAAGAAATGGTGCAGAATTTAGGTGCTGTTTTGCTTTGTTTTCAGGCTGTCCCGGGGCTCAACATTAACTTAAATAAGTCCAAGATTGTTAGATTTGGGAAGGGAGGGTGAAGAAACTCTTGCTGGTGTTTTGGGGTGTAAATCTGCCAAACTTCCTCTAAAATACTTGGCTCTTCCATTGGGTGCGAGATACAAGGAGAGATGCACATTGGATCCAGCAGTTGAGATTGTTGAGAGAAGGTTGACAAATTGGAAGCGGAACTTCTTATCCAAGGGAGGTAGACTTACTTTGGTGAAGAGTGTCATCTCAAATATTCCAATTTTTTTTTTTTTGAAATAACAAATACTCCAATTTATTATCTTTCAGCCCTCAAACTTCCGGTTTCTGCTGCCAAAAAATTGGAAAGAATTCAGTGTCGGTTTCTTTGGGTGATGAAGAGGAGAGAAGGAGAATGCACCTTGTTAACTAGGAGGTGAAGAAACCGTTGTGGGAAGTGGGATTGGGTATTAGATCTCTTGTTCAAATGAATAGGGCTCTGCATGGCAAGTGGTTGAGGAAATGTTTGAAAGAGGAGGACAGTATGTGGAAAAACGTCGTTGAGCCGAGATGGGGCTCGTGGGATGGGAGAGGCGTGTGGGGTAGTAACGGAGGAAATTATGGCACTGGTCTTTGGAAGAGTATTAGAGAAAGAAGTTACTGAAGTGAGTGTGTCAAGTGGAAGGTTGGAAAAGGGAATAACGTGTTATTTTGGACTGATGTTTGGGAGGATGGGGGCTGTTTTATAAATAGATTTCCCAGAATTTATGCAATCGCGCATGACAAAAACGCCCGTGTGGAGGAGGTGTGGAGCGGGAGTGGGGGAGTGGGGATGTGGAATATTACGGTGACTAGAAATCTGAAGGATTGGGAGGTGGAGGAATTCGAGAATCTACTTCTGATGCTCTCCAATGTATAA